TTCCAGCCTCCCTAACAAGCCGGTTTCCGAAAAGACTTTAGTACCATAGACATATATATCCTCCGAAAAATTGTATAAGAGACCGAAGAATACAATCTGTCACTTTGCCTTGCGTATGTGGACTATGAGAAAGCCTTTGATTTCGTCGAAATTTGGGTGGTTCTGCAGTCCGTTCAACCCCAATCCAACTGCAGAGAGGAGTAAGACAGGATGACGTTATATCTCCGAAACTCTTCACCGCTGCATTGGAAGATGTTTTCAAGCTACTGGACTGGAAAGGATACGGTATTAACATCAATAGCGAGTACATCATTCACCTTCGATTTGACGATGATATAGTCCTTATGCTAGAATCGCTGGAGGACATAAGCACTATACTCAATGACCTCAATAGTGCCATATGACCTCAATAGTGGCTCACAACAAATAGGTCTTATGATGAACATGGACAAAACAAAGATCGTATGTAACGTCCATTAGTAGCTATTATTGTGTGTTTCACTTAATACATGTTTTACATTTAAATTTGACTCCATTTTTGATCCTCGTATTTGTGCTGTCCTTTAAGCGAAGAATATGTTATTGTATTTCTATTGGTGAGAACCAAGAGTTAAGTATTTCTATTGGTGAGAGGTTTTAACGGTGGTAGAGCCACGCAACAGTTTTTGCTGTTGTACGTATAGGCCGGCTCGAACCGGGTTGGTACCACGACCTCACAGAATACCGGCGTGAAGTAGAAGCTCTGCTTCTGCGTTTCGTCTGGTGAGTGAGGTGGCCGAAGGCCCAATTCCCCACACCATCAACATGGTAGCGCAATTACACGTTAGACTACCCCAGGAGGATCCCTCGCTGAGCATCCACGACCATGTTATTCCCCTCCTGAGCGTGGGTGCTCAGGCTGCCCCACGTATTCTGGGGGAGGGCGGGGGGGGGGGGGCAAAATTCCGCTCAAAAACATAACTGCTCGGGGTAAACTGAGCAACAAGACCAAGGCGACCCCTGCCACGCTATCCGTGAATTTCTGCAACATCAGGGGACTTCTACCCGGGGTACAAATTGGAGCACTCCTTTGTGACTCGGGCTGGAGTTTGCGTGTCAGAGAGGACATCTGTTCTCGACGCCTCTTGAAGGTCGCAGTCTTGAAGGTTCGGACCTGTCCATCCTATGGCTACGCGTAGACAGCGACGACCATCCGCCCGTCTACGGGTGCCTCTATAGGTCCCATAGCGGTAATGCCGAAACAGACCGACTCATTGACCACGTCCAAATGGCTACAGATTCTTTGCTACAACAGGTCCCATTCTCAGAGATCGTGATCCTTGGCGATTTTAACGCCCACCACGCCGAATGGCTCGGTTCAAGTTTAACCGATCATGAGGGGAGATCTGTTTATGACTTTGCTTTGGCATATGGTCTGACACAACTGGTTACTTCGCATCAAGAGTCGAGTTGGACGCAAAAAGGGAGCCTAAAAGGTTGGCTTTCTTTTTGCAGCGTGGGCCAGTGAGTCGTCCTCCCTGTGCAGAGACGTTAGTGATGACTTACAGAAATTCCCTTGGACAGCCTTGGTGAGAGACCAGAATGTACGGGTTCCCGAAGGAAGGCGAACTAGTTTCTCGCCAATTCTGCCTATGTGCTCTGACTTTGCCTTGGCAATAACTCTTTTGTAGGACCTGGATGCGAAGTTACACTTCTTTTTAAGCATGCTGGTGTTTACATCCTGAGCCGCCGAAGCCTCAGCCCAGGCCTGATAGGACTCCTGCTTACTGCGTAATGCATTCTTACAGGAGCGACCAAACCAAAGCTGAGATCTGCCTCCAATGGGTACCACAGATAATGGAATAATAGTTGTATGTAGTTGATTGAATGAAAGGTAAATTGCGGTTTACGATTTATGACGTATTAAATAAAAACTACTTACTAGATCTCGTTCAAACTAAATTTCGGTGGAATTTTACATGGTAATGTACATCATATATTTTTTTTTTAGGTTTATCATTCTCTTATTTTAGAAGTTACAGGACACTGGCACACATTTTACCACTTTGGAAGTGTCTCTCGCGCAAACTATTCAGTTTAGAAAAAATTATATTAGAAACCTCAATATCATTTTTAAAGCCCTATCCATAGATACCCCAAACGTATGGGTTTGATGAAAAAAAAATTGAGTTTCAGGTCTAAGTATGGGGGACCCCCAAAATTTATTGTTTATTTTTTTCTATTTTTGTGTGAAAATCTTAATGCCGTTCACAAAATACATCTACTTACCAAGTTTCAACAGCATAGTTCTTATAGTTTCGGAAAAAAGTGGCTGTGACATACGGACGGACAGACAGACAGACAGACAGACATGACAAATCCATAAGGGTTCCGTTTTTTTTCATTTGGCTATGGAACCCTAAAAATAATGTTTTAACTACGTTACTTATCTAGCATGTCGATGACATAACTAATGGGATATTGAAGTTTGTGACTGTGTAGCCAAGCCATCTACCACTTTTTTACAATTTTCTATCATCAGAACAGTAGGTTACTGTTCTTTAGACTATGCCTATCGGGATTACAGGCGTGATTCTATAATATAAAAGCAACATACTTTAGATATTAATGTAATGATGTTATACTCGTAATGTTATAAGTCCTAAGAAACATTAATCAGGAAGCTACAACACTATGGTGTAAGAAGTGAGCATCACATTTTAAATTTGATATTTCATATTAAGTAACAAAACGCAAAAAGTTGTTATTAACGATATGACTTCTTTCGGGTTGATAGTAAATGGGCGTGCCTCAGGGCTCAATTCTCGGCCCCTTTCTGTTTCTTGTCTATATCAATAACTTACTTTAAAAAAGGGTTATTATAATATTAAAGAATTTATGGATGACTAGCTGTTCTCCGCGACTTCGTTCGCGTGTTAGGGTTTTATGTGAAAGTAGCCAAAGTTACTCCTTATGAAATCAGCTATCTGCCAGTGAATGTTCCGTCGAAATCGGTCCAGCCGTTTCGGAGATAAGCCTGAACAAACAGACAGACGAAAATTTAAAAAATTGTATTTTAGTTATAAGTAACATATTTACTTTCATGTGCATTTAGTAAAAAAACTGTAATTTTGACATTACAAACAGACACTTCAATTTTATTCATTTGTAGAGATAATAACCCCTGCGTGTTGCCAGTGATGACTTACGAATCTGAGACGTCGTCCTTCACTGCTGGCCTATGAGGACCCTCAAGTTCGCTCAGCGAGCTATGGAGAGGGCTTTGGTCGGGGTTACTCTGCGTAATAAACTTAGAAATGAGGATATCCGCAGTATAACCAGAGTGATCGACATAGCTCAACGGATTAGTAAGCTGAAGTGGCAATGGGCCGGCCATATAGCTCGAAGAACCATCTACCTATGGGGTAAAAAGGCTCTTGAGTGGCAGGCTCGTACCGGTAGGCGAAGTGTATGGCTACCCTCCACTAGATAGAGTGACGACCTGGTAAGACGCGCAGGAAGTCGGTGAATGCAGGTGGCTCAGGACCGTGCTTTGTGGCATCCCGTGGGGGAGGCCTATGTTCAGCAGTGGACTTGTGATGTGCTGTAATGATGATAATGATGATGAATAACCCCTAGGAATGAGCTGATCGTTACCATGCTATTTCTAATTGGTTTTGTGTTGTACCTTTAATGATTGTAAATGTTTCTTTCTTTTTAATAGTTTTTTTTAAATTCATGAAAAAATAGAGACGATGGTTCATAGCTCTAGGATCTAGGAGCATTCAAGTTATTAAGAAATTCTATAGCTATGGACCATAATGACAGTGAAAAATATTGATTTAGAAAAAAAATCTCAATATCGGGAGCCACTATGTGGCGCTGTGTTTGAGTTATTAATGTTTTTTTTTAACTATAAACAAATAAAACAAACCTTTTTTTAATTTCTTCAAAAATAAAATAATCTTTCTTCCTTAATAAACACTGTAAAAGTTTGAAATGAATTATCCGTCAACTGGAGTGCTAGTTGTTTTAGAATCTAAATTCTCTTCGCACCTTATGTAGAATTATGTTAAAAATTAAATTAGTTCTGAAAAACTTGATTTATAAAATATTTTGTGAATTTAATGAGATTCGGAATGAGGATCGCAGTTTCCATAATATAATGTACTAATCTAGCCATTATAAAAGTTTTATTGTTTTCGAGAGTGATTTAGTCACTGTTTTCCAAGGGTTCCCCTGATCTAAATTTGCACTTAATCAGCAATCACTGTATCTCCAGAATAAAACTGGATGCCTTTGGTCATTGGTTTTGGTTTAAATATCTACTAAGTATATACATATTACGAAAACTAAATATTTGGGTGTTTCTTTTACATAGATTTTATTCTTGTCGACTTTTAGAAATAATACAGAAAACATGAACAATGGGATGAAAGCTGCCTTACACGTGTAAATATGAGTATAATGAGTGTATGACCAAAGTGTATAAATCAAAGAAAAAGATCTTAAAACTTTATGATAACGTTTTAATTTGAAAACAATAGAATAATCTTAATTTGTAGTCGCATGGGCGAAAATCCACAGATAAGGATGGAGTTCTCATAAATAACCAAATCAAAGAAGGTTTACTGGAAGTGAGGCATTCCATCTTAGTCCTCGCGGGTGACAATGCATCTGCATTTTGATTCGCAAACGAGGATAGATGTAGATGTCTATGGGCCGCAGCAACCACTTACCATCAGGTGGACTGTGTGCTCGTTTGTCACTCTTATCCTATAAAAAAAAGGTGTTATTTTCTAAGTTCAAATTACAAACGAATTGAACAGAATAACAATAAAACCAAAAGGCCAGATCAAAAGTACCGTAAACCTAAGAGCATGTATGAAGGGAATAATGAAAGTGGACGAAGCGAAACAAGTATGTAAGGATCGTAGCAAGTGGAAAGAAGTGGTCTCTGCCTACCCCTACGGGAAAGAGGCGTGATTATATGTATGTATGTAACAATAAAACTAACAATTCAGTCTAATGTCTTTTATTTATAAAAAAAAAACAATAATTATTTTAAATAATACAATGAGCACATGCGCTTATTGCCCGGGAAAAGAAACAAGTGGTCTTCCGGAGCAAGAAGGAGCATTTAGATAAATCTCAACTTCGATCGCAACAAAACATCCAAGCCGATGCGAAGCCTAACTGGATTGCGAGATCTAATTGAGAAAATCAAAGAGCATCGGTTTTGAAAATATCGAAATTGTATGAATCAGAGCAAGGAAAATATAATTTAACATATTTTGCGGTTTTGTGCGACACAAAGTTCTAACCCCTATAAATACTGTCATTTAGTGCAATAAATAAAGACTATGTGCAATCACATTTAATACTCTAAATGATCTATATCTATATTCATAAGGTTCATAATTGATTATATCAAATTCGTTTTGTGCCAAATGTTGCTGCATTCTATAATGAATGAGCATATTGGTTTATTTTACGGCTTCAGCGTACGACTGATCTGGCTTTGTTCTTACATTATCAATACTAAAGGAACTACAACTATGCGGAATGATCGCGATTTGACAGCGCGTGTCATGTTCTAGATACGTAGCTAGCAGTAATGGCAACGTGGCGCCGAGCTGCGAGCAGCGCCCGCCATGTCTCGTGTTGACTAGCTTGGTTGCTTACTTATCAATCATTTTACTCCCGTTTCTCACTAAAATAAATAACTTATCTAATAAGAAAAGCCTTCGACTTCATACTTAACATTGACGTTGCGATTGGTGCTGGTAACGTCAAACCTCCATCTTAGACCCTTTTACTTCTAGATTACTATAAATAATTTGTCCAGCTAGTACATTTACCAAATTCAACCGGTCCAGCCCGGTCTTGATGTAAAATAATAATAAAGCAGCTAAGACATATTTTGCCATAGCTCGCAGTTCAATTGACAGTACAATTAAATTTGATAGGGTAATTTATACTCTATATCTAATAGACTCTACATTAACTTATAGTTTCAAGAACGAAACATATTCACTATAAAATGCCGACAAGCTGAGGTTCCTTCAATAGTCCTCTAGGCTTTCACTGCGCTGAGCTGGGGGCATCAGTGGATTTTTCCACTAAACTTTCTCCGGCTTCTGTAGTGGTGACACTGAGATCTGATGCAACTGTAGTTTCATCTGAATTTGTTATTTTTTCTGTTGACGGTCCCGAAGAATTTGCAACTCCATCTGTGGTTATTTCATCCACAACAGGTGTTTCGTTACTTTTTTTCATTATTACTTTAGTTGGCCGTCTATTTATTGTAGGTACATAAGATTTTGTTATAATTTCGATATCTTTGTTCTGAGTTTTATTTTCAGGTTTGTCATCTGATACGTTGTCTATAATAGGTCGTCTTGTTGTTGGTTCTACTTTGTCATTCGGAGGGGGTGAGTCAGTTATTGAGTCGGTCTCGTCATCTTCAATCTCAACATTTTTATGTTTAGTAGCAGGTGATTTAGTTTTTAAAGGTACTTCAGTAATAGAGTTTAGGTTCCAATTCTTATTTTTGCTTTTATAACCAGCATTAACTGGAATTAATTCTTCTGAATCAGAAATTGTGCTAGGGCTCACAGTATGATGTTCGCCATCGGATCCTTCAGTGTGGTCACCAATTAAAGCGACATCACCGACTAAGTTAATCAAATCCGTCAAAACATTGTTTCTTTCATGTGATTGATCAACGATTGCCGAGTTACTGTCAGTGTCTGCAGAAATTTTAATTAATTCGACACCATCTGTTGTAACTTCTTGTGAACCAAAAGATGGCAGAACAAATTCTGTTGTTTCTATATTGTCGAAAGAATCATTTAGACCATCGGATGGTCCTATTTTAGAGACTGCGATTACCTCAGAATCTGTTGACAAAATTTTAGTAGTTCCAAGGTCTAAGGCCAGCGGGTCAACAGTGGGAATCGGAGTTTTATCTTTAGTGATATTTTCAGAGGAATCGTGTGGATTTTGATCACTTGTTTCAATTGGCAAGGAGCTTAGTTCAGTTTGCGATGTAACTTCAGTGCCAACATTAGATTTTGAAATATAGCTTGTGGTATGCTCCTGAGAAACTTGCGAACCACTAATTAGTTGCTCCAAAGAATCAGTCGAATTATGGAAAGCTTCAAAGGCGGTCACATCGGGCTTGTGTGTGCTCGTTAGAATATTGTTTTCTTCAATTATTTGCTTTGGTAGTGCGGTTGACAATGTCATTACTATAGCCTCAGTCGTAGCATTCAATTCCAACGAAGTACCCTCGGCTATATGAGGTGGGACGTTCAACATCTCTTTGGGCATAACAGACCGTAAATTTAACATTGAATTCTCCCTCGATTTTGGTGTTACAGTTTCAACATATTCTGGTTTAGTTGAACTCGTGTCGAAAGACATATCTCGTGAATTATCCCATGACATTGATGTTGCTTCGGTCATATAGCTTGACGAAGTCGTCGCTGCTTCCTTCACTATAGCCGATTCTGTCGAAGTGGTTAGAGTACTTGCTACGATAACAGTTTCATGGGCTCCAGATACATGCTCATTGTCCATATTTTGTTCAGTAAGAATTTCATCTTCGTGGTTACCTAAAACGGATAGGTCATCAGGTAGAGGCGGAAAAGCTGGATTATGATCAAATATGGAAGAATCTTCTTCCTCGACCATGGGAGCTTTACTAGAAGGTGCTGATACAACATTTAGAGTTAATGATGGCGATCCTATTGTAGCTGCAGAACTGGGTATATTAGAGGTATAAATATTACTATTTATAGAGTCCTGAGTTGGAAGGCTTATTTTGGATGGAGGATCGTTTGTGTTGTTTAATACAATGTCTTCGCTGGTTATTTTAGATGTTTCAGTGGAAAGTAAAGAATCAGAAGATAACGAAGACTGATCATTGCCCATTTCCGTTGATTCTAGTTTTGTATCAGATTTACTACTTTGAATCTTCTCAGACGTGACCTCTCGTGGGATTAGTGGAGACTTGGAGGAAGAATATTCGGCAACTTCAATACTAGGTGAAGGTATTATTTCCTTGATTTTCACTTCAGTGATAACTGGGATCTCAGAGACGGGAGTGATTTCCTTTATAGTGATTTCTTGTTTAACTGGTTCCTTTAATGAAGTTGGCACAACACTGGTGTTAATTTCTTCAAACGTGGGAATGTTTGATATCGCAGGCGCTATACCGGGAATAGTTGTTACACCTGAAAGGAAATAAAACATTATTCAATTACACTTTTATAGATTAAATACTATTTTCATAAATTAAGACAGTTCGTAATCACAGATAATAAGTTAATTGCAAATTGTCATGCGACCCACTAAGTATTATTTTTCATAGAATTAGGACAAGGGTCACCTTTGTATACGGTTCACCAGATGATAAGTGAATGTTGTACCATATAGACTGGCCCAGAAACTCTCAGTTAAGAATCAAATTGGAAATTCGTTGTCACATCAAAACAATAATCGAATGTCTTATTACCAATAAAAAGGGGCTGCGGTTCTCGTGAAAACAGCATTATATACCAGTATTTTACGAGCATATAATTTCACCAGTCCATTCGTGCTGCAGCCATAATACTTTTTTTATAGAATAAGGGTGACAAACGAGCACACAGTCCACCTGATCGTAAGTGGTGCTGTAACTCAATAAAGAATCAAAATGCAAATGCGTTGTCACCCGTGAGGACTAAGATGGAATGCCTCTTTTCCAGTAAAAAGGGTCTCCGGTTCTCTACACTCACCATACTAAACACAGCAGCATTAAGCTGCTATTTTACGCTGGTATTCTGTGAGAGCGTGATACTTCCCCGATCGAGCCGACCCATTCGTGCTACAACTATACTACTAATATAGCTGCAGCATGGCTCTACCACGTATAGCGCATATTATACACATATAATACAGCTGCAGCGTGGCATTAACACGTAAACATGTATTATTCTGCATGTTAAGTTGTTTAACGGAGAAGAATGGATACCATAACAATAGGTCAAGGAAAATGTTTACAATACACGTTCTTACAATAATTCAATTCACCTTTCCAGCGAGATTGATATATACAATTTTACACAATACATATTACATTATTAATTACACAACGTCAATGTTTGTTATGAAAAAATCTTAAGAATTTCCATTCAACACGCAAAGAACTATTTACAAAATAATGGTACCCAGCTTAATAGCAACATATGTCTGCAGTTATGTTGATGTTAAGTTCTTATTTCCTGGTGTACTGACATATAAAGATTATGAAACTCGCGCGTGATTACAATGAAAATTATGTCATCATCAGCATCACAGCGCAAGTCCACTGCTAAACATAGATCTCGCTAATTGATTCCCACAAGCAGGATTTCGAACCAACTCCATCCATCAACTACCTGCATGCTTTATCAAGCGGGTCGCTAACACTGCACTTGCTTGTGTGAGGCTACCACTTGAGAACCTGTCTTCCTTATCAGTTTTCGGTTTATTGAGTCAAATATTTTAGCACTATTGAAATTTCCTACGTGGTAGAGCCATGCTGCAGCTATATTATGGTTGTAGCACGAATGGGTCGGCTCGACCGGGGAGGGACCACGCTCTCCCAGAAAATCAGCGTAAAATAGCAGATTAACGCTGCTGTGTTTCGTACGGTGAGTGTAGAGAACCTGAGACCCTTTTTACTGGCAAAGAGGCATTCCATCTTAGTCCTCACGGGTAACAACGCATCTGCATCTTGAGTCTTTATTGAGGATAGATGTAGATATCTATGGGTCACAGTAACCACTTTTTTTTTTTTTTTTTTTTTTTTATAGGAGAGGGGGCAGACGAGCATGCGGCTCACCTGATGGTAAGTGACTACCGCCGCCCATGAACAACCGCAACACCAGAGGAATTGCAGATGCGTTGCCGGCCTTTACCATCAGGTGGACTGCGTGCTCGTTTGTCACCCTATCCTATAAAAAAAATCTACTCACTAAGACGGGAGAAGCCTATGTCCATCTATGTACTATAACGGGCCGATAAAGAATCAATAAACGTACCGAAGACCACCTACGCCGCGTGTCCTGGATACGAAGGCAGTAACGTAAAACAGCATCTTGATGCTGCTGTGTTTCGTTGGGTAAGTTGGGTAAGAGAACCGGATCCCTTTTAACTAGAAACGAGGTATTTCATTTTATTCCTCAGAGGTGATTTTTAACTGAGGATAAATGTAGATGTCTAAGGGCCACAGCATCCACTAATCATCAGGTGATCTGTGTGCTCGTTTGTCAGCCATATTCTGTAAATAAAATATTTTTCGTTCTAGTAAGTAGATACAGAGATTCATCACAATGTTGGACTACTTGCACAACAAACACATGCTCACTTACTTCATTCACTACACGTCACGTTTATGTTTTTACGCGGCAGAGCCACGGTGCAGCTGTATTATCGCCGCAGCTTGCAACAGGAATAGATCGGCTTAATCGGGGAAGGATACCAGATACTCTTTTTACTGGTACCGAGACATTCCATCTTATTAAGAGGTGACAACGCATCAGTATTTTAATTTTTAGGAGGGGATAGATTTATATATGATAGAAGTTGTGCTTGTTCGCCAGATTATTCTGGCCGGTTTAACCTAAAGACATACTAGGTACTTGTATCTTATATGTTGTATTAGACAAAAGAAATATTATGTGATATAGGAAGTTAGAAAAAGGGAGAGGCTTAAAAAGGGATACAACACCTGTATTAGGGACCCCTAGGGACTTTTACATTGCTTAATCCTTAATATAGATTGTCACTACAACGTAACGTGAGGTGGTCAGTTGTCATATTCGAGACAGCAGCAAGGCATACTAGGCATCTATGGGGTCATACAAAAAGTAAATAATAAGTGATTTTCCAACTTTTCCCAACTTCCTAAAAGTAGAAAAAACGGACCGCCCTGTCCAACATCTGTATTACCTAGGAACCTTTACTAGGCTTAATTCAACACTAGGATGACTACACTGCAGCATACCTCGGAGTGGGCAGTTGTCGTATTCGTGGCAGTAACGAACCATACTAGGCATCTATTGGGTCTTAGAAGAAGGAAATATTACGTGATATAGGAAATTGGAAAAAGGGAGAGGGGTCCTATACTCGCAGTGTCAAAGGGCATTTACATGGCAAAATCCAGCCCTAGGATTATATCACTGCAACATATATACGTCATGTTGGCATTGGCGCTAGGATTGTCACTGTATCATACCTCGGAGTGGACAGTTGTCGTATTCTGGGCAGCATCGACCGGGCACGTGACGCGGAGTGCAGTCGTCCCGCACAAAGCACGCGATGCGCCGACACACCACCTCCCCACCCTGGCAGTAGCACACGCGGCACGGATCTGCCGGGTCCACCAGCTTTTCACCATTTCCGTACACGCGGCCTTCTTGCTCACATTCTGTAAGTTATAAAGACTGTTGTTGGAATAGGAGTTCAAATTAACGTTATAAAATCACTGCTTCGTTGGTCTAGTGATCACAAGCGCGACTGTTTACTATGGGGTCCTGGGTTCGAAGTTGATCGGTTTCCCCGGTCGAGTAAAAATTTGTTATTTTTGTGTCTAGAAACTGCAGCTGATCTCTCAGCCTTATCGTTTCATTTATCATTATCATGTATTATTTCCGTCCCAACGGACTATGAGAGTGAGGAATGGAGAAAACACCTGTGCTTGCGCAGATACTCGTGTATTATAATAATCCTGTCCTGTGCAGATGGCTAATCTCCGTTGCCACTAGCGGCTGTGATTTCAATTGAGGTGATCGCTACCAATCTATTTCTAATTTGTTTTGTGTTGTTAATTGTGTAACATATGTGTATGTAAGCTGTTATTTAAAAAAAATCCCGCTACGTTTCTTGCTGGTTCTTCCCAGGATAGAGGTTTTCTTTCGAACTAGTCGTAATTAAACAAAAGAGTGACTTTCAATAAGTATTATTTTAAAGTTTTTAAAAAGTTACTATCGATAACTGTCGGCTGGCTCAATTTGCCGTTAAAATCTCCCAAAAACTACGCAATGTGACGCATCAATATATTGTGAAGCATAAAAACATAAACATAAACATAAACACTCACGCCTGTCACCCAGAGGGGTAGGCAGAGACTACGGACTTCCATTTGGCGCGATCCTGCCACACCTCTGAAGCATTGTATTAAAAAGGATTATTATCACTTGACACAGATAAATGAAGACCTGGCTGAAAGGACAAACAGCCAAGCCAAAAATATTATATATTAATTTAAAAAAGTTTCGTCTATTTAATACCTCTGCAAAAATCTTTTTATTCGTGTTCCGTGGCAAATTCAGCAAAATAGAATACTTTGTAACCGCATTAGAGTCACAGACATTTTATATAAGGGTTTCAAGTAGATAATTGAACTTTTACGTACCAAAATCCACTTTAAACCATTATTTATACAATAAAACCAGAGCAGACCACTCTTCAAACATGTTATAACATGAAATAGCTTACCGCACTGGTAGGTAGGGCAGCAGTGGTCGGGACGGTGCAGCGCCTTGCACCCAGGCCGCGGCTCGCAACGCTGCTTGGCGCACTGTACCCCTCCCCCGGTACACGTGCAGCGTTCGCATGCGTTCTCCCCGGGGAACTCATCACCAGGCATGTAAACTACATCTCCCAAAGCGCATCCACCTGGAAATTTGAAAATTCTTGTTTTTATAGCCTGTAGATTGCGATGCAGAAGATTATAGACGTGTCTTGAAGACGGATGGACATACGTCTTCAACATTTTTATGTTCTTCATGTTCAGAACAGAATACTGATGAAGCATGCAGGACCTACTGATGAAGTACCTATTAAAAGGTTAGAAAATTTATTTTTACAAGGGTTATTACGAGTTTTCATAGTTAATTGTATAAAATATTACATTGTGAATTAATGTTTAAAAAAAGGTTTATTGCTTGTTATTCCCAAGACAAAGCCTTTTTTACGAACCTTTTATTTAATTAAGTATTCTTGTACATATCTAATACATAAAAATTTATATTTGTTTGTTCGTATTTTATGCGTTGCCATACCGTTCATCAGATTGCGGTAAAACTTTGTCAACATATTGCACATGCGCGAAGGTTATACCTAGGTATAGTACAATCAACATACGGTATCGTTCCGCCAAAAATGTATTTCAAAGTTATATGTCATTCAACCTCAATTAATGTACCTATTATCATTTCTCATTTAGACTATTATAATAAAGCGGAAGAGTTTTTTGTTTTTTTTTTTGTTAATCAGGCTATTCTCTGGAACAACCAATCCAATTTGAATTTTTTTTATGTATTATTATAGCCAGATTCAATCCCTGAGAAAAGCCAGTAAGAAATAAAAACAATAAAACTGCCCAAGTGCGTGTTGGGCCACGCACAATTTGCCGTAGTTGCCCGTCACACTACACGCGGTTTGACCTCTATAACGACCAAAAATGGGCCCAAATAGGAAGATGGTAACTGAAGGTCTTATTTTCAAATCTAACTTATAGGGAGTGCTAATCAAAAAAGTTTATAAAACATTTCGATTTTAAAAATAATACAATTTACATCAAATCATTCACATGCCAAGGTACAAAGATGATCATAGTAGATTATCTATCTAGTATATATTCCCGGCAGCGCAACCCTAAGATATACATATAATATGACCGTAACGAACCTTCACGTAAACCATCACTGCCCTCAATTATCCTGAGGTCTCCCGCGTAAACCAAGAGTGTGGCGAACAGTTCTCTAAAAACTGTCGCCAATTGTTTTGACGTAACTCTAGTTGAAATAAATATACATGAATGTAAATTCAATCTTAAATGCATTGTCTAAAGTTGTATTCACAAAGCTATGTACAAATTAAAAGCGCACCCAAATGTTCGAGTGGGCGTTCATTCGGTAAGGACATTTTTGTCACTGATTGTGTATCTAGTTTTTTTTTTATTAGTGATCGATGACGACGAATGAAACTGTATGAGGCTTTATGATTGTATGAATACTTTTAGTGAGGCCTACAATAACTACCAACTAAAGATTAAAAATAAAGTAGTAAGGAGGTAAGAAAGATCCTCCCCTCCTCCGCAAATAAAAAAGTAAAGCTATATTAATGATGCACAAAGTCTTTTTCTTCATAACTTTTTTATTTTTAATAGTTTACAATAACATTACATACTTACAATACAGCTAGCATACGGTCATTTTCTATCGAGTTGTTACGAAATTTTTACTAATCGTTACTCGTTAATTTCTTAATTCTACTTAGCTGTGATAGTTTTCCTTTTTACTTGTTTTTATTTTTATAGAATTAGGGTGACAAACGAGCACACAGTCTACCTGATGGTAAATGGTTACTGTGGCCCATAGACATCTACATCTATCCTCGATTACGTATCAAAATACAGATGCGTTGTCACCCGTGAGGACTAAGATGGAATGCCTCGTTTTCAGTAAAAAAAGGGTCTCCAGTTCTCTACACTAACCATACGAAACACAGCAGCATTATGCTGCTATTTTACGCTGGTATTCTGTGAGAACGTGGTCCTTCCCCGGTTGAGCCGACCCATTCGTGCTACAACTATAACAGTAATATAGCTGCAGCATGGCTCTACCACGTAAACTTCATTATATATACTAATATCGAGTATACTTTTAACGTTTCTAAAAACAGCGGTTTAGTTAGTAGAGGGGGGGGGACACATGATTCTAATGAAAAATACCACCTTAAAGCTAAATATTTCGCAAACGGATACTTAAATCGAAAAGATGTTGTTCCACACCCCCAGTTTTTTTGAAAGACCTCTGGAATAGATGGGTAAAAAATCATCCTTCATTTACTTGTATGGGAAGTACCCAAAATAAAAATGTTTGTTGAGATTTTATTTTACAGTTTTGTATGCTTTGTATGGTTAATATCTATAACTATGCCAAATTACACATTTTTAGCACCTTAGGGTCTTTGAGTGTTGAAGCGCCTGTCAAATTATATTAGCAGTTCTCATGCCAATATTAGTCCGTAAGGTGTGTAGGTATGTTTAAAAAATGTTGTACCTGTCGTCGTTGTAAAATTTAGAGATCAAGTAAAGGTCGGTTGAGCAAATTACAGCATTTTACTATTAAAAAGAGATCAATTTCCTATTCATGGTCCTTCGAGCCGGATTTGAAAAAACGTAATTGGACAAGATATTATTTAGTGGAATACGCTTGGGAAGTCTTAAATATTCGTTGTGGAAATACCACCGAGGGAGTGAAGATATTTAACCAAGAAATCTGGAGTCTTAGCCCCTTAGATATTGGACTATTATTTAATTTATTTAACCCAGCACTCATTATCAGGTAGTATTTTGTGTAAATCGACTGCTAATTTATCAGGTTAGTACCAAATTACCTATAAAATAATTACGTATAACTTAAAGTATTTAATCGGCTAAAATTCATTTAATATTGTTTTATATAGTTTCTAATAACCGTCAAATCATGATTAAATCAAATTATAAAGCTTAGTTAAATTATATTGACGATATTATAATTTTTTTTTTCTCTTTATTGGTTTAAACTGTTTTTTAAAAAAAAAAAAATAAGTCAAGAGAGTGTATAATTGAAAAAATTGCATAATATTATTTATTACATACTAAGGCATACCTGTGAAGCTGTTTGATGGTCTGAATTGTATTTGTTACCCTTAATTGTTGTTAATTATAAAGTTAAATATCAAGGTAGTACATGTACCATTTTGTTTAATTATTTAAGAGTTTGAAAAATAAGTAAGGGAATTAGTTTTCATTTCTTTACAACTGTAAGCAAAATTGTATAAAACTACTTATGAATTATATTTTATAAAATATAAACTTCTTGTTTGTATAAATTTCAGGCATTTGCACTAGTCTCCCAATACCAGCCAGCATGCCAGAAGATAAGGAGCAAATTAGGAAACGAGCTAGTTACAAGGGACAAATAACAGCTTTTTCAAATTATTTAAATTCACTGAAGGTATCTTCATTGGCTGCTACTGAGGTAAATGAGTTGCAATTACGTATTAGTAGGATTGAGTCAATGTATGAACGATATGATGAGGTACAATTATCCATCGAGTGTAATACTGATAATATAGACGCCCAGATATCAGAACGAACTGATTTTGAATCCCTGTATTTTAAATCGCTTTCTCTTGCAAAAAGGATCTTAGCAGATTGCATTAAGTCAGATGACGTAAGCAGTGACGGTGGCTCTCATTCCGGCAATCATAAATTTGTTAAATTGCCCACTATTCAACTACCTAAATTTAATGGTTCTTATGATAATTGGTTAGAGTTTCATGACACGTTCATGAGCCTCATACATTCAAATGACGAGATAGATGACATAAATAAGTTTCACTATCTGAGAGCGTCGTTGGAAGGGCCCGCTGCTGTGGTAATACAGTCAATCGAATTCTCGGCAGCTAATTACACCGTCGCATGGACTATATTATGTGATAGATATGATAATAAAATACTACTAATTCAAAATCACGTGACAGCCTTATTTAATATAGCACCAATTAATAAAGAATTGTCTGTCAACTTAAAACGTCTTATTGACCAAATAAATAAAAATTTACGTGCACTAGAATCTCTCGGTGAGCCAACTAAACAATGGGACACACTTCTCATTCATATTATTACTCAAAAATTAGATGCTAAGACATATCGTGAATGGGAAGAGTCTAAAGGTCGTTTGGAGAAAGATACACCTATTACGTTCGATATATTTTTGATGTTTTTAAAAAATCGAGCCGATTTAATCGAAACACTAGAAATGTCTAATTCTGGTGCTACTAACCGTTTAAATTCTTCTATAAAATATGCTCCAAAAGTTAAGGCAATGGTTTCAGTGCGGGATACCGGTAATAAAAACGGTTCGGCCTTTTCCGCCAAACTGTGTCCTAAATGTAAGGGTGACCATAAGTTAAGCAGTTGTCCTCAGTTTCTTGGATTAAGTAACGATGTGCGTCTACAGTTACTGCCAGAGTATAAAGTATGTTTCAATTGTCTTAATTCAGGACATTATGCAAATCACTGCAAAAAGCCAGGATGCAAAATATGCCACCGAAAGCATAACACTCTCGTGCACGTCGCAGATTACCAGTCAAAACCAATTACAGATATTAATACATCTAACACGAGTAGTGGTAATAATAAGCCCGTTATGCAAGGTCATTTCGAACAAACAAACAGTTCGACAGGCTCACAGTTGTCATCCAATTCTAACGCACATCTGTCATTATCCGCAAAGGTAGGCACTGCATCGTGTAGTGAACAAGGCGACGTATTGTTATCGACGGCATTAATTAAAGTTATAGGTAAGAATGGTTGTCCATATATTGCTCGTGCTATTCTTGATAGTGGCAGTAACGCTTGTTTAATAACTGAAGAGTTATATCAAAGGCTAGGTTTGCCCGCTCAAAATGTAAATCAGTCGGTAGTCGGTATTAATAATGCTTCGGCACACATCAAGAAGATTTGTAAGGTATCGATAAAATCATTGAATGATAACTTCTCTAGTAATCTTCATTGTTTTGTCCTACCATCAATAACCCAAAATGTACCTACTAGATATGTTAATTTGTCAAACTTAAAAATTCCATCTAATATTTCTCTGGCAGATCCTAATTTTCACTCA